CTTTAGTAAGTGCTCATGCTACATTTTTTTTTTTCCAGGTATAGCACTGTTTTGAGGTAATTCCCAAGTAAGAGCTCTGTGGGGAAGAAGAGCGAATGGCTGTTTAAGGCAGTTGCAGAGCTGCTGAGAGGGCGTGAAGGAAAAGCCACAGATCGAACCAGGTTGGAAAGCAGCAGAAACAGATCAGTGCTGCCTCCTATCTCAGACACCTGGAGTGGCACAGAAAGACAGAGCAGGCTTCCAGACAGGGAACACTGGAAAGGGAGCGGGAAGGGAGGCATGTGAGGGACACCCAGCATGGTGATAGCTCGTTCTCATGACTAGCAGTGAGCACCCAAGCCCGCTGCCACCTCCTCCTGACTGGTGTCCTTGCCTCTGGCTTCTCCTTGATCCCGCCAGTAAGCCCCGCCCTGCTGCCAGTTAGCATCAAAGTCAGGAAGCCTATGTCCCCTCCAAGCTTTAGAGGAATGCTGTCCAGTGGAAACATGGTGCAAGCCACATATGTTATTTTATATTTTATAATAGCCACACGAACATAGCAAAACAGAAACAGGTGACACTGGTTTTGATGATACATTTGCTTTAACCAAATGTATCCAAAATATTTTCATTTCCACATGTAGTCAATATAAAAGTTATCAATGAGATATTTACGTTTATACCGAGTCAATGAAATCCTCTGTGGATTTACATCGGCAGCACACTGCCGGCAGACAGGCCCCATGTCAAGTGCTTCAAGGGCGCGTGATGTGAGTGGTGACCGCATAAGACAAGGCAGGGCTACTGTGTGACCCTGAGCGAGTCACTTTACCTCTCGAGCCTCGGTTAGTTTCCTCTGTGAAGTGGGGGTTAGGCTTAGAGGATTTTTAAAAAGATTTTGTCTATCTATTTAAGAGAGAGAGAGGAAGAGAGAGAGAGAGAGCACACGCACACAAGTGGGGGGGGGGATGGGGAGGGAGGAAGAGCAGAGGGAGAAGGACAAGCAGACTCCGCACTGAGGCGGAGCCTGATGTAGGTCTCCATCTCAAGCCCCTGAGCTCATGACCTGAGCCAAAATCAAGAGTTGGATGCTTAACTGACTGAGCCACTCAGGTACCCCCAGGCACCTCCAGGCTTAGAGGATTTCTAAGCTATCTTTAATACATTAGGGATACATGTTCTGGCAAAGTAAAGCTCTATTTCATAGCAAGAGATCCGCCTCCCACTCTGGCCAGCTGGTTTGAAGATGGGCAGCAGAGGCCGAGAATCCCAAAGAGCCACACAGATCTATTTGGATGACAAGGCAGTAGGCACAGGGGACAGCCCCTGCAACATGGCCATTGTCTCACTATTGACCAGCACGCATAAATGCGAATCTGGTGCTAGACATGTCAAGTTTGTGACCACACATCCCTAAGGGTTCTTTTGTGGTGTCCTCTATCTGCAGAGTTGAGGAAAGGGACATTAACTTACACAGACCACTCAACTGCCAGAAACAATGAGGACATCAAAGGCAGAACTTTTATAAGCAGGAAGACTAAAGACCTCAAGACGCCGATTGCTTGAAGAAATTTCTTAAGGGAATTTAACTAGTACTGTCTTCTGGAATGTACACAGCTAGAGGTCACACATCGGCTGCCCAAGTGACAAAGGAGAGAGTTCTGCCTTCTGGTGAAACTGTTCCCCAGATTTTCTCCACTGCCAAATTCTGCAAAGATAAATGCATGTTCTAGTCATGCAGCCAGGTTATTATGGAATTCTCTGGAAGCTGTCCAAGTTGGACAGAATCCTGCCTCATCTGTACTCTGACTCTAGCTAACCTCCCTGACTGCATCACCCCCTAGCCTCTTACCTGCCTGACTCGGAACCTGTTCCTGCACGCAGCCACCACACACAAGGGCAGCACTGAACTGAATGCTCCTCTGTCCTTCCCCACATGGCAGAACCATCTCAATACCATCTCAATACTCAGCTCACAGACCACATAGCATTTTCTCCGTGAAGCGTGTTCTCAGTCTACCAGGCAGAGTAAGCGTGCTTCCACAGCTATCTGCAGGACATCGGTGATGCACCAAATTCTTCCACGTATGGAAATGAACAGACCTGAGTTCAGATCCTGCCTCTGCCATTTACAAGCTTTGTTCCCTTGAGCCAGTTACTTTCCTTTTTGTAGATCCCTTATAAATAAGACGGGAAGCGAGGTAGTTACCTAAGAACACTGTCAGGTTCTTTTAGTTCATCATCACAGGATGCCACTAGATAGTGTTTATTAAAACTAACAACACTGGAAGCACCAGATGTTTATGCATTAGCCCATTCAAAAGACATTTCCTGGGCATCCCCTAAGCACAGGCACGATTCTGGATTCAGAGGAGAAAGTCAGGTAAACAAATGACTCAGTCCCTGCCCAGAGCAGCTTATTATCTCAATAAACAAAGCCTGAGTCTTTGATGCTGCAAGGTAAGTCTGTTCCCCTTGTTTTACTCTGGAAGGCGAGCTGGCTGCCGCCAGTGACTGCCTTTGGTAACTGGATATCTGCTGTCTGGCTGAAAACAGGGGACTGTTGGGAAGTAAACAAGTCAGAGCTATTTTCAGTACAACAGGCCCCCATGGGAGTCCACCCAGGACCAACAAAAGTTTAACACCATCTAAAAGATGCCCTGCCCCACCTTCCTTAGATGCACGGCCCATTTCAGAGAAGGCTTTGGCCCACCTAGCGACTGGGAGCAGGGCCAGCAGCTGGGTGAAGGATGATCGTGACAGAACCCAGCTCTCCCATAGGTCCGGTCGTCTGTTAACAGACGGAGAGAGGGTGCAGGTTCATTCTGACTTGGCCATGTCTCTCTGAGGAAGACTTAGATTTGGGAAGACAAAACTAATTTGTTTCTTCTCCAAGAAAGGGGGTGTCATGGAGAGCAGAGTGGCTATCCCTCTGGTGTGCAAGGTGTCTGGGGACTCCCAGAGGGCTGAGGAGGGGTTGGCAAGGGCTAAGCCAGGGGTTGGGTCTGGGGGCAAAGAGGTGACAGCGAGGTGGATATAGAGCCCCAGGCCAGTGGCTCCGAGATCAGCAAATTCCTCCGTGACCTCAGGCTCAGGTCGGCAAAAGTCCTCCAGAGCCCTCTTACTGTAGAGAGGGGACTGCTCCTGCAGTGCCAAGTGAGAAGCGGCTCGGGAAGTCATGACACCTGCCGAGGACAAGACCGGAAGGCATAGATAGTGCTGAGAGCAGGTGGCTAATATAGCAAAGCAAATCCAAGGCCACAAAACAGAGTCCTGGGTTGTGGTGCGGCAGGGCTGCTCTCAAACTCCTGCCCAGAGCTTGGGAATCCCCTGGGGTCTTCTCCTCTTGGGGGACTCCATCTGCCTGGGGAGCGGGGTATGTGTGTGGGGGTGACAGCTACCCTCTAGTGCTTAAGTAAGCGGCTGATCTGGTCACAGTGCAAGAGGAGAGGAGTGCTTCCTAAGCAAGTTACAGATTGGGATTGGGAGAGCTCAGTGATCCTTGCTACCTTCATTATTGCTAAGAAGTTTTCTCTTGTTGGGAAAGATATCTAGGTGCATACATGGGCATGGGAGACAGAGAAGATGAGAGAGGGAGAGGCAGAGAGAAGAAATATCTGGAAGCTCTAATTCAAAACAAAACAAGTCATTTACACAAGGACACAAGCCTCCATTAGTCGCACAACTGCCCTAAACAGAATAACATGGGGTGACAGGTAGTGGCATTTATGCAGATGAATGGGAGACAGAAGTACCCACCAGCATTCTGAGGATCACGTCATTAAAAACATAGGGAGAAAATGCAGCTGCTTCTGCTCAAACCCAGCGAAAATCCAAAACAGGGAATGAGCAGTGGAGTGGGTGAGTAGGAGTGGCCCACAGCCCTTGCAGTTTCCTCTGTCAAGGTCACCCTGAGAACTCAGGGAGCTACCACTCAACCACACCTCTGGGGAGACAGGAAAGATACTGGACTATGAATTAGAAGCTCAGTGGGCAGATCTCAGACCTGCCCGCAGGGATGGTCTCAGGAGGTCTTTAACACCTTGTTTGCCAGAACGTGAAGTGTTCTTTCTCTTCTGGGCCTGGGTAGTCTGGCTCTACTTTTGCATTCTGCTTTCCGTCTGTAATTCTCTCTTCCAAACCCTGAGATCCTCCTCAGGTAAGAGCTTTTTTTTTTTATTCAGCTCAATTTCTTCCTCCCAGAGCCTGCTTGGTACAGAATGAATGGGAGGAAGGATGGGCGAGTGAGGGAAGAGGAAGTCTGCTGAGAGAGGCAGCAGGGGATACTGGAAACAACTCTTTCTTTAAATTAAATTAGGGATCAGGTGCCCTGAGCTCTCAATTTAGACTGCACAGTGGTAATTCCTGGCCAGACTAGCTGTGTGGCCTTTAGCAAGTTTCTCGTCTTCTGTGTGCCTCAGTTTCCTTGTGAATGAATAAGGGATTGTAATTGCATCCATTTGCTAGGGCTGTCACAAGCTCTAAATGACACTATGCACATAAACAGCTAATTGCAGTGCCTGGCACATACAGCTACAGACCAAATATTAGCAATTATTGCTATGTAAAAAGAAGTCATTAAAATAAAGCTGGTGTGGTTGAATCAAGCTGGGAGACACACAGCCCCATATGCTCTACCTTCCTCCCTTGTCGCATGATGCTGGAGAGAAGCCCTGCGCTCCCTTTGGTGTTAGAGATCTGTGGAAAGCAGTGAGTGTCACCACAGAAAGGACTCAAGCATGGACATCAGACCCGGGTTCTAAGCCCAGATTCCTGATTTGGAAGAAAGGAAAGTTACTGCATTTCTCTGGGTTGCAGTCCTCAGCTGCAGTTTAGGGATGAGATCTGCCTACCTGACAGCTGTGAGGAAGAAATGAGAGAAAGAATGCGGAGCATTTAGAGCAGTTCTGGACATGTAAGGGCTTCAGGAATTCACCTCCATCCCCGCTAAACACTCCCTCTATGGGTGTGCGGTAGTTCATAATTATTTTCCAAGTGAGCAAAGAAAGCTCCTTACTTACACAGCCACAGAGGAATTTGACAACATCCTGCACCATTTGGACATGTGAAGTGGTCCTTTCCCGTATTTGATGGACAGTAGTAAGTACCCGGGATCTCCTGCAGCCAGACCTGTCAGCCCACTGCCAACACTGGGGACAGATTACAGCCTGACCAAACTGCCCCTTCCAGAGGACACATCTTCAGCAGACAGCAAGAAAAGGAAAATAAAAGAAAAAAAAATGCAAATCAGGAAATAGATGGCTTTTGAAATGACTTTATCAGTTGTCAGACTAGGGTCTCCCAGACAGTTGGTAACTCTGAGCAAATATGAACGAAGGAAAAACCCACAAATTCCCACCTCAAGTTCCATAAGTGACTCAAGAATGACAGCTATCTCATTTCAAGTAAGATAGCAACCTGTTGCATAAAGAAATAAAATTTCCAAACATATGTGGCAGTGCAATTTTTGGCTCCAAGAGGGAAGGAAGAAAAGAGCATTCCTTACACAGGAAACCAAAGATTCCTGACTACTCTGTCCTCCCACTTTCCTCCTTCCTTCCAAAACCAGAGCTTGAAGCTAGATTTTAAAAAGGAAATACAGAAATAGAGGAATTAAGAGAATGGAGAATATTATCTTTAATTCGCTGATTCCTTCAACAGACTATTTTCCTCCTTTTTGCTAATTAACTTTATAACATGGAAAATTTCTAACATGTATAAAAATAAAATAGCCCAGTGAATTTATCAACCACTTTCAACAGTTATCCAATCTTATTCTGTTCTTCCTCCATTCACTTCCCTGTCTCCTATATTATTTTTAAGGAAAATCTCAGACATCATATCATTAAATCCATAATATTTCAATCCAGCTATATAGTGAGCACCTTCTAGGTATGCTTACCCTGGCTGGGCAAAGACAGATAAGGAAGACTCCTTGCCCTCACAAAGCTCGAAGGCGGGGTCGTGGGTCTTCGGAAACATGCGAAGTTGAGGCATTTATTTGTATAACAAGTGTTGTAGAGTATGACCAATGCCAGCATAGTTCTCAATGCTTTATGGTATTAATTTATTTAAATGTAGTCCTCCAAACTCCCCAGCGAGGTAGGTGATATCATCTTTCTCATTGTACCAGTGAGAAAGCTGAGGCACAGAGTGGTTAAGTATTTCTGTCCGAGGTCAAACAGCTAGTAAATGGTGGAGCTGAGGAGCACAAATTGCTCAGAAAGCATAGTGAAGGTGACACAGCATTTTCTCTGGGGCCACTGAGGCGTGAGCAGAAGCTCCCCATGCAGACATGCGAAGGGCAGAGCATGAGCAAAGGTGCAGAAGGGCTCCACACCCAGGAAACAAGGAGTTTTGGAATGGCTGGAAGTGGACCTAGAACAGCACGTGAGGACCTAGAATGGCACGGGAGGGATTGTGGGCACCATGCTGAGCGGTGTGGACAGGCAGTGGGCTCCAGACAGCCAGCAAAGAATACGTGGGCGAAGGATGAGATCAAATCATATTAGAAAGATAACTCTGGGGGCACCTGGGTGGCTCAGTGGGTTAAAGCCTCTGCTTTCAGCTCAGGTCAGGATCCCAGGGTCCTGGGATCGAGGCCCACATCAGGCTCTCTGCTCCACAGGGAGCCTGCTTTCTCCTCTCTTTCTGCCTACTTGTGATCTCTGTCAAATAAATAAATAAAATATTAAAAAAGAAAGAAAGAAAGATAACTCTGGAAATGGCACAGAGGACTGAATGTAAGGGGGAGAAATGGAACCCTAGACATGTCCAGGTAAGCCGGGAGGTGATCAAGCCTGATCCAGAGCCGTGCAAGTGGGAATGGAATGGAGAATACAGAAATAGGAGACAAGGGATATGATGATAACTGGGACTTCCATTTCTCAGAATGTTGACAGAACCCCAAAGCCCGGAACAATAAGAGCAAAGACCACAAATGCTAAAATTGGTGCTGGGCACATCAACAGAAAAGCTGAGAAGGGGCCAGATACCTTCCTGAGCCTTTTAGCCTTTCCCCAGCTCTACTCTCTGGATAAGAGCAGCCTAAAGATTCCTCCAGGAGAGATTTCTTTGCAGAACACTGTTGCCAGTGTAGGGGAGGAGGGGTCTCTCCTCTCAGGCCAAGAGAGGGAACTCGGAAGTCCTCAGGATCAACGAGGGACCAGAGTAGTGGACAAATTCTTGGGAGGACATGACAATCCTCCCGAGAGTTGGGCGGGACAGAATAAGGTGCCTGGCTCACTCTGGTTGGGGGGTGTTGTGGGAGCTGCCCGCAGAGCCAGATGCTGCAGCAGGAAAGGCCTGGAACTTCTGAGTTCATAGGCAAAGGTGTCATATGTGTGTCCATGGGTAAGAGACAGGCTGCCTGGGCTGCTACTTCCCAGTAGGAAGAGGCTGGTCTCCTGTGGCTGGCAGCTGCTTGAGAGGTAGAGCTGTAGCATATCCTGAGAGGTGGTGAGAGAGGGGCCACATCGTGAAAGCACCTGGGAAGGGATGAGGAATGGGCACAGCAGAACCAACCATCCTCTGATGAAAGTGCAGCTTGTGAAGTTGGCCCTGTCTGGCATTGGCTGGTGTCTGGGAACGCAGAGCATCCCCCCCATTCCCAGGAGTGATGACAGTCTGGCTCTCAAGGCCTACACTGATTGTGTAAACAGCATGGTTGATGCCAAACACCTGCTTTCCTTCTGGGAGTCTGGAATTTTGCTATGTACCAGGGAGAGGGACCTACGGATCAGCCCCCAATACATACTCTGGGCACATGGTGTCCAGTGAGCTCGTTGTCACAACTCCTTGTTGGAGAATTAAGCATGTCCTGTGTGACTCCACCGGCAAGGACCTTTGGAAACTCACCCCCAGTTTGCCTGTCTTAGCTCCATGTGTCTTTTCCCTTTGCCGATCTTGTTTTGTACACTTCCGCTATAATAAATTATCACTAAGAGTACTACTATATGCTGAGTCTGTTGAGTCTTCCTAGTGATTCCTCTGACCTAGCCGTGCTGCCAAAGAACCCACCATCACTCCCAAGAGAAGCAATGCCAGCATTTGGGTGTCTGCCAGACAAGAGGGCGCAGATGTCAGATAGGATAACACGGATCATGTAAACCATTTTTAGATTTTAATTTCTCATTTTTCTCCTTGAGCACATCCTGGGGAGAGCAGAAGCAGCGAGGGGTGTGTGGGAGGAGGGGAGAAAGAGCAAATGACAAAAAGAGAAGCAAATGAGCAAGTAGGATGAAAAGAGCACACCCCCTCCCACTTTGCGGAGTCTGACCTGAGGGGAATAGGGAGGAGAGCTGACAGCAGGACGGGGGCTTGGAAGCGATGGGGTAGGAAAAAGTACTGAACTGAGCTGGAGATTAAATTGTGATTTTTTTTTTCATATCAAGCATAACTACAAGTAACTAGGAAGAGGTTAGAATAGCCATGTGATCTCCCTGAAATGTTGCCAAGGATGGGAATGAAGATCCAGAGTATGTGTCTGAGGACAGTGTGGGAGCAGAATCAATCTATTTCTGGATTGGATTTTATCAAGTCCAGACCTCTCAATAATACTGAAACCCACTTTCTAAATGCAAGCAAAACCATAAAACAATACAAGGCATACAGGTAAGCGTGTTCATCTACAGTTAAAAGAATACTGGCTTTAAATTCTAGCTCTGCTTTTTTAAAAAATATTTTATTTATTTATTTATTTATTTATTTGACACAGAGAGAGACAGTGAGAGAGGGAACACAAGCAGGGCAGTGGGAGAGGGGGAAGCAGGCTCCCTCTGAGCAAGGAGCCCGATCTGGGGCTTGATCCCAGGACCCTGAGATCATGACCTGAGCTGAAGGCAGACGCTTAACTGACTGAGCCACCCAGGTGCCCCAAGCCCTGCTCTTTCTACCTATGTGGTTCTGGGGGAAGTTCCTTAATCTCTCTGATTCTCGATTTTTGTCAACCTCACATGTGGGTCACTAGGAGAAGAAATGAGAGAAGACATACTGAGCACCTGGTAGCTTGGGGACACACAACAATAGGACGCTACTCCTACAGGCCAGCCACCCTCTTCCACCTTCTTTGGAGTATCGTGAAATGTTTGGAAGAAGAGTGACTTTGTGGGGTTCGGTTTTTATGATCTTTATTTGCAGGAGTGAGCATTTGCCCGAGTCTGCCTCATGTGTAGTTGGTGAAGCTGGGATGCGGACCCAGAAGGCCTCTTGAACTCAAGAGATCCTGCTTCCGCTAGAAACTGCTAGCTGGTCCTTCTGCCAACAATGGCTTAAAACCATCCCAGTGCACAGTTTTTGGGTTTCCCGCTTACCTTTTCCCCTGCATATTTAGTCTTAATGGGAGAGAGAATGTGAAAGGGGTAGAAATATGCATATTTTGCAAATACGTTTTAAAGCAAACTTTATGCCTCTCTGACTTTCATTTTCCTTTTCTGAGAATGAGGAAGACAGATGAGATGGGTGGTTCTCAACCTCACCGCAACTGGGATCATCTGGGAACTTTTTAAAAATACAGATGCCCGGGGGCACCTGCGTGGCTGAGGGGGTTAAGCCTCTGCCTTCAGCTCAGGTCATGATCTCAGGGTCCTGGGATTGAACCCCACATGGGGCTCTCTGCTCAGCGGGGAGCCTGCTTCTCCCTCTCCTTCTGCCTGCCTCTCTGCCTACTTAATATGATGTCTCTCTCTTTGTCAAATAAATAAATAAAATCTTAAAAAAAAAATACAGAGGGGCACCTGGGTGGCTCTGTGGGTTAGGCTGCTCCCTTCGGCTCAGGTCATGATCTCAGGGTCTTGGGATTGAGTCCTGCATCGGGCTCTCTGCTCAGCCGGGAGCCTGCTTCCCTCTCTCTCTCTCTCTCTGCCTAACTCTCCATCTACTTGTGATTTCTCTCTGTCAAATAAATAAATAAAATCTTAAAAAAAAAATACAGATGTCCAGGCTGTCTTCTCACCAATTAAATCAGAATGTCTGGAGGTGGGGCCGGGGTATGGGTGTTCTCCAGACGCTCCCCAGGTAATTAGGATCGGAAGCTCCCACTGGGCTACATGACGCTTGTTATTCCCACCTCTAGTATTCCTTTGATGATCCCTTAATTAAATAAAGTGTGGCCATAAAGCAGTGGGATGGCTTCCCAAACCTCTCATGAAAAGCTA